TTATCGCGCTTACTTTTTCATTTTTACAGCAATCGGACGCTGCTGATCGTAACGCACTTCAAAAAGTTTGGAACGTTATTGACGATAAATCGTGAATCCGCCGTGAATGGTTACAGTAGCGATGTATTCACGATAAAGTAAGTAATAACGTAATTGTAACAGTTACATAGTTGTGATAACAATACAGTGATCATAATAATTATCGTAATATAATTTAGAGCATGAGTTTAGTTGAATAGGCGGTTTAAAGTGATTAGCCAGAATTTAATTTGTATAAATGATTACTTTATTAACTTTATTTGAACGCATACAGAGCATCGAACTAGAAGATTTGAGAGAAATCGTTTAAAAACCGTATCTATCTAATGTGCGAACGAAGATTGATTCGAAAAAAAATTGCTTAAAAGGCTGAAATGTTAGTGCTATTTGCGAACATTCGGTTATTGTCGAAATGCTCCGATCAGCTGATCGGTATGACAGGCAATGAATGCGGACTGGGAGGGGAGACGTTGTGAGTGCATTAATACATAGTTTAAGAATGAGACAAAGAAAGTCAGTATTATAGCAAAATAAAATTCGAGGCACAAGGAATCCGGATGTAATTGCTAGAATTATTTGAACATAATGTACCTACAACACTTAATTCAGTTGCTTCCTTTCTGTGTGTGTGACACAAATGCAAATGATTGTGTTACATTTTAGATTCGGCAAACGAAAATATGGAATATACTCCGGCGGCAGATATATCTGAATTAATTAAACACAAAGAGGTCATGGCGCACTTAGGACTTGGACCAAATGGCGCTTTAGTTTACTGCATGGAATTCTTAGAAACTAACGTCAAATGGCTTATCACAAAAGTTTTGAATTTAAAGGATCATTATCTTATTTTTGATTGCGCTGGTCAAGTGAGTTGGTCGTTTCTCTTAGATTGTTCCTTTTTTTTTATTTGATTAGTGCCAAATAATAAATTGTAATAATTAATGCAATAGGTTGAGTTATACACGCATCATAAATCAGTGAACCAAATTGCCGAGAAATTGAACCAGAATTTAGTGAGACTATGCAGCCTACATCTTGTGTTCACATCATTGTAGCGATTTTGGTACATATTAATGCATTCATTCGAACTAATTAAATAAACGATAAATTATTAGATTTCATTGCTGAATGTAATGTTGTCGTTATAATTTATAGGAAAATACCTGTTCTCTCTAATTCTTTGCACAACACGATGCTACAAATAGGTTTACCTCATGTAAACATTATGACAAAGTTTGACGAGATGAAAAAGTTCAGCGATCGCCTAGCATTCAATATAGATTTTTACACCGAAGTACTGAATTTAGAGTATCTCTTGGAACAGTTGGAC